TTCTGTGTTTACCATCAATGCTGTGTCATTTTGTTTTATTTTATGTTGTTAAGATTGTGTCTACCAAAAATAAATCCTGTAAGGACTTATAGTTCACTTAAGATTGATGCGCTGTGAAGCTTAAATGAATCCGACGAGAAAATTCCTCTTTGTTTTATGCTCCTTTTTATTTTTGTGCAGTCGGTTCATTTTCTATCCGGATAGAGGCAATTTTCTCTCTGTAAATGTTCTGGATTATTCTATCGTTCTCAAAGAAATTGATTTTTCCTTACACCTTCAAATAGGTATTTGTATTTTACCTTATGAAATGCTTTTGTGTAGTCTATGAAATATAGGCATTTGAATTGCTCGCCCAGATATAATTCTGAGCATAAACGTCGCGTTCTTGTTTTTTTTTTTGTTTTTTGTTTTTGTTTTTGTTTTTGTTTTTGTTTTGTTTTTTGTTTTTGTTTTGTTTTTTGTTTTTGTTTTTGTTTTTGTTTTTTTTTGTTTTTTTTTTTTTTTTTTGGGGGTCTTTTTAACGGACCCATTCTTTTCCTATTACCGGTCTAATTCTGCTACACAATATTTTAATTAGAATCATTAATATATTCGTTCCATCTTTGTAGTATTTTTCTCTATTCTATGCATTGCCTCGCTGGATTTTATGCATCCTGTCGAAGTGCACGTCTTTGTCTTTTTTTTTTTTCTTATGTACAACACTGATTCTTTCTATCTCTGCACACTTCTCGTTGAGTCATGCATCTTTTGAACGCCTGCATTTGTTTCTAATGTTTATTTATTTTCTATATTCTGTGTCATTTCTTGATATAGCTTACTGTCACTTTTTCGTTATATCGCTTTCTTTACAATGATCTCGTCCACTAACTTTTCCCGAAATGTTTAATTTTGAATTTCCCGTTCCATTCGTGTTATGTTTGTAGAGGAAAAAGTGTGAGTAAAACAAAGAAATAATCTTCAAGCATAGCTCTACAAATTAAATAAACTTTATTACTGAGTATTTTCAGTAGACTACTATTTTTTAGTGGAAGTGTATCTTACCGCCGACTTCCGGAGGTTGACCTTCGAAGTCAGATGGAAGCCATAACAAGGGAGTCGATTTTGAGTGGCTGAGCTAGCCTGGGAATGAAAGAAAGATTTTTCAGCGAGTTGGTTCTTACACGTCAAGCAATGTAGACGTGGTCACTTTCGTGGGGGGTGAACAACCTCGGTAGTCACTCCCACAGTTGGCGCTTCTGAATATCTGAATATATGTGTTTGATATATATATATATATATATATATATATATATATATATTTCTTCCTTCCGTTCGCTATGTTTTGCTTTGACTTTTTAAGTATCACATTTCCCGACGGTGGTTCCTCAATATGTGATGATATATCAGCAACTCGAGGACAATGATGAATTTCCCTACTTTCATCACCATCTCCGAATTCTTTGAGGTGTGTCTTTGATTGACAGTCCAGACAAGAAAGTATATAGCAAAGACCTCTCTCGACTAATAGTATTAATATAATATTAATCAATGTGAACAGACATCAGAAATGTCAGAGCAAGAATGTTTTTACGGTTATATTTCTATTTTGAATGACGCAATTTAAGGGTAGAGGAGTTGTAAAGCTAAGACGAAAAGGATGCGAGTTCGAATCTCACATTTTTTTTAATTTATTTTACAATAATAGTAACTCTGTACAAGGGCCAAGAGCCACGCTAGGTAGCTTACCGATAAGCACAGTTTACATTTGAGGAAAATAACGGTAAACCAGAGACTTGAAAAAATCAAGCCTGTTGTAATTGGAGAAGCATCCTCTTGCTAATCAGTTCCACAAAGTAGAAGCAATTGGAATACGAAGTAGTTGAATGGTTCGTTATAATATGCATGGCATGTTGCGTTTTAGCTCTGAAAGTGAAACTGGTGAAACTTGTAGTTCGTCTGAACACTTTCCATGGAAATAGTGATAGAGTAGCAAAAGGCTTGTAACGTTTCGTCTGTGGGGAAAGGTTTATAAAATGGAAAATAATCAATCATCTACAAGGCTGCGAAGATTCTTTCGGGCTCTATCGAAACTGGAAAATGAAAACTGGGCAGATCCATACCAGGCCAATAATGGGGTACAACGGTTGCCATATGGCCTGATCTGGCAATTGTTAGGGGTCAGGTGATTACTGGAAAATTACAGGGAACCGACCATTTTTCCCCTATATCTAGCAATGGTTCGTATGTACGAGTTCCATTTGAGGTCTGGCATGAGCTTACTTCGCAAAAGGAACTCAACGCACGAGACCTCCCTGGCAGAGTATCTGTCGCGATAGACAAAAATTAAAGGTCCGCTCGGTGGTGATGGAACCTCACTCGCTTGGTTCTGCGCTGTTTATTAACAGCCGCAGAATAATAAAATTACAGCAAAAATTTAGATTTAAAAAATTAGTCAAGCATAATTCACACGCTAACGAGTTAGTCTTACAAGCTGTTCACTGATGTCCCTATTTCGATTCTTATTGAGTAACCTTGTAACCCTGTGCTAGACTAAAATAAAAATAAGATTGCCAGTATCTTCTGCCACAGAAGAAATTTAATAAAACTGGTAGACATTAACTTACCAGATACACTACAGGCAAAAAGTTTGGGAACAAAGTTTTTTTTTTTTTTTTTTGTTTGTTTGTTTTATTTGTTGTTTTTTTGTTTTATTTGTTTTATTTGTTTGTTGTTTTGTTTGTTGGTTTATTTGTTGGTTTATTTGGGGTTTTTTGTTTTTGTTTTTTTTATGTAAAAGCTAGGGGATGAGAGTTATCGGCTTGTTTGGGTCGCTTTTGACGTCATCCTGAACCTGCTAAACGAACTCTGACGTTTTTTACAATGCCCGACGACTTCGACTCTGTCTTGTGGACGACACACACTACGAGAGGCACCTACTCGTTGTGATATTACAATATTTGATGGTAACGCCCCCGCCTAATTTCTTGCCCGAATTTTCCATATAGGACATGTACAAAACAGGTAAAAAGTTTGGCGACACCCAGTATTTTAAAATCATCTTGAAATGAGATATATTTTTAACCCCTTTTGTCTCCGGCGTAGACGTGTATATACGTTTTTACCGAAACTGTCCTTTTTCAGTCACGGACGAATAAACACGTTCAAAACAATGTTCAAAAACCATCTACAAACGTGTTTATACGTCAATATTGATCATTGTATTCACTTTTGAGCTTGAAACTAGTCCAATTGTTCCTCAGTTTCTTATTTACTATATTAAAAATAAATAATGAACAGGGAAGGGGTTAAGTAAAAAAAAAACTAAAAAAAAACAAAACTTTTCAGTAACTACAATGTATTTGCTTTTATTTTTGAGCCTTTCTCCAGGCTCCTCTTAGTAACAACAAGTTGAAATTTAGATTCGAATGTCCACAATACATTTTGCTAAATTGTAACTACTTTGTATGAAAAAAAAAAAATCTCGTTTTCACCATTAATCCTCAGTAGACCTTTTGTGATTACCAAAAGAACTGGAGATTTGATTCATGTGAAGGGAATTCTGAAAAGAACGATATTATTCAATGTTGCAAAGACAAGCTATTCCATCTGGCTTCCGCTTAATTGGAAAAAAATCACCTTTCAACATGACAATGGTGGAAAGCACCCTACGAAATTATATCAATATTACCTAGAGTAAAAAAAAAAAAAAAAAAAAATGCTTGGAACGTTTGCCATCTACGTTTTCAAAAACTGTTGAAAAGAATTCCAAAAATTTGTAAAGCAGTAATTTAGACAGGTGGTGGTTTTATTGACGAAAATAAAATATGATACTGTTGTATGATATATTTTATAGTTAAATAGTTATTTTTACCAAAATAAAATATACAGTATACTGCATTTATTTGACTTTAAAAATGCTGGGTAGCGCGAAAATTTAACCTGTAGTGTACGTGTTTTGTATGTAAAATTCGTGCATTAAATTAGGCGTGGTCATTACTATGAAAATGTATTTTAATTCCTTCAGTGTATTGAAGGTAATACTATGTTAACCAGGGTACTCCAGATAGTTGAGAAAATGCTTTTAACATTTTAATTTCTTTGCGAGATGTCTCGGGAACATTGACAAGTCAGCTTAATATTTGACACAGTAAAGACAAGTCATGTTCGTGCCAATAGTGACAAAGTTCAACGACTCTGAGATGACGAGGTCTTTATGGTTGAATATAAGGAACTAGCTGTTGCATCTCGTAGTGTGTCGTCCGCGAGTAAGAACGAATCGAATCGGTCAGACGTCGTAAAAACGCCAGAGTTCGTTTAGCAAGTTCAGGCTGACGTCGGACACGATCTCAGCAAGTCGATGACTGTCATCGCCTAGCCTCTCGCGGTGTTCGAGTTCACAATCAAATGTTTGGTGTACGAGGACATCAGGTACAGGTCTTATGTGAGAATACGAGGACGGTTAATGTCTGGCAAGATCCGGAAGAAGTTCCAATCGATTGGATCGATTTCTGAATAAGCTCAAGCAACCAGAGGGTCTTGTCATGTTCTTAACGGTTAGCAAATACTTCTTGTCATTACTATATCACGGCTATTTTCAGGAATGCTGTTACCATGAAGCTCTACATATATTCAGAAAAGGTTACCTGGTGAAAGAAGAGAAAACTGCATATTTTTTTTTTACCAGTAGCGAAAAACGCTCAACTCCACGAGAAGCGAAAGACGCTCAACTCCACGAGAAGCAAAAGACGCTCAACTCCACGAGAAGCAAAAAAGACGCTCAACTTCAGATTTGGGAGAGGGTATCTAATACAACGCAAAGCGTCTTATAAACAAAGACAAAATAGGGTACTAATAACAATTTAATAAAAAAGACGCTCAACTCCAAATAAAGACTTTCAACTCCACGAGAATTTTCAGAAGCCCAACTGGAGTGACTTGCAATAATAAAATTATTTAAAGACGCTTTCCACGAGAAGCGAAAGACGCTTGAATGCTCAACTCACGAGGACCTGACGCTAACCATGACAAACTCAACTCCACGAGAAGCGAAAGACGCTCAACTCCACGAGAAGCGAAAGACGCTCAACTCCACGAGAAGCGAAAGACGCTCAACTCCACGAGAAGCGAAAGACGCTCAACTCCACGAGAAGCGAAAGACGCTCAACTCCACGAGAAGCGAAAGACGCTCAACTCCACGAACGAAAGACGCTCAACTCCACGAGAAGCGAAAGACGCTAGATTTGGGGAGAGGGTAATATTCTTATAAACAGCAAAATAGGGTACTAATAACAATTTAATAAAATGAAAACTCCAAATACTTTTTACGAATTTTCAAGCCCACTTGGAGGACTGCCTATTGAATGAGGACCTGACTAACCATGACAAACTCACCTCTGACTGAGAAGAAGCGAAAATACCTAGCCTGTGCTAACGAAAGCGTAGTATACGGTAGTAATATTCTTAAAGTGTCTACCGTGAAAGCTACTGCTTTGTGAGTAGTTTAAGAAAAGGAAGGTAGGTGCTACTGAAGCAGGACGCTCAACTTCACCAGTAGCAAAAGAAATTTTGAAAACGCACTGTAACATAAATTAAACTTTGAAACTTTGCTACAGGAACAAAAAAATTTATAGCTAAAAATCGTATCGTTATGATTTTCTACAGAAGCACAGACTTTTTCTGGGACAGATAAAAAGTAAATTTTAAAACATTAACTCAAATAGTTGTGCCTTCCTTTTCTTTCACAAAAAAATTGAACTTGTATGGCAGTTGCACATTTTAGATTTCTTCGGAAAAAATTCAGTTACTCATTCATTACCCTCCGCAGTTGCGATTTTCCCGACCTATCTCTTTATATATTGATGACTTTCACATACGCTGGTGTTATGAGACATTAATTATCATCCTTCACCGACGTCGTAATGTTTTGGCTCATCAGTTTGATATATTTAGTTAAGATTACCTATATTTCTAGAAGAGAATATCGGTGATAGCGTTTGTGAATATGCACAGTAAATATAGGATCATTATATATATATATATATATATATATATATATATAAGGCCGCAAGTATTCAATAAAATAGGTTTTATTAAATTTAATCAAGGATCACCCGTTTAATTTCTTTATTTTTACAATTGACTTATATATGTTAATATATTTAGTGTGCGTTTTGATATATATTGCGATTTTTCAGCAAAAAACATTTTTTATTGCGTCGTTTTAGTTTTTATTCTTTAATATATTCAATTATTCCTTATTTTCTCTAAATGAATTTTTATTAATGGCGTTCGTTTTTTAATATTTGCAGGCGTATTTTTACAAATTATGATTATAATATTCATCTCTGAATATTCTTACGATTTCTTGTTTTTCTTTGTGTCTGTTGATTGGTGATATGCAGTTTCATGGAACTATTAGCGTTTTGACAGAGGACGCTAAGTGCGACGCTGAGATTCGTAGACGTATTCGTATGGCCAAGGACACATTCTAAGGGCTGGGCAGAGTATTGCTATACAGAAGGATTTCTTTGGTAACAAAGAAGAGTATTGAGCTGTTATGTGACATATGTCCTACCTTACGGCAGCGAATGTTGGACAATTCTTCAAAGATAAAGAAGAAACTCGAGGCGACAGAGATGTGGTTCTACAGAAAGATGCTAAAGATATCATGGACAGAGCGTGTGAGCAACGATGATGTCTTAGAGAGGTTGCAAACAAGGAGGAGGCTTATACTTAACATAAGAAACAGACAGCTGATGTTTCTGGGACACATAATGAGAAAAAAGGGCCTGGAGAATCTGATACTCACGGGTCGAATAGAGGAAAAGAGAGACAATGGAAAACAATGCGTGACATACCTGACAGAATGACAGAAGGTGGGTGACAGAATGTGGTCTGGGGGAGGAAGCAGAGGGAAGGAATTTGTTAAGAGCTGCAAAGGATAGAGGGAGGTGGAGAGCCATGATCGTCTGCGTCCTGAAAGGACATGGCACATAAAAATAAAGAAGCAGAAGATAAGTATAGCAATTTAATATACGATACAATATAGTAAGTGTGCAACCAATGAATAAATTATTTAAATTTTATTATTGCGAGTCACTCCAACTGGGCATTAAAATTCGTAAAAGTATTTGGAGTTTTCATTGTATTAAATTGTTATTAGTACCCTATTTTGCTGTTTATAAGACGCTGCGTTGTATTAGATACCCTCTCCCCCAAATCTGAAGATAGATATCGGAAAGAGTTTTTTCCTAGTACTCCATAGCCCTCCCCACTATCTCTAATTTTACCTATTGAATAGCATATTTCAGCATGAGGACCTGACTAACCATGACAAACTCACCTCTGACTGAGAAGTGAAAATACCTAGCCTGTGCTAACGAAAGCGTAGTATACGGTACTAATATTCTTAAAGTGTCTACCGTGAAAACTACTGCTTTGTGAGTAGTTTAAGAAAAGAAGGAAGGCAGGTGCTACTGGAGCAGGAATTTCATTTCCTGTCAATATCGCAGTATCCTAACTTCAAAAATAGCTTTTCTCAAAACGTCGCTAATTTAATTTTGAAACACTGGACTTGTTTTACTTTCAAGGGATCGGAATCGGATGTAACTCTAGAGCTGACGCTCACCCCAAAACTTATAGCTCCCATCACTGACCTTCAATTAATAGGACACAAAATGGTTTTCGGGGGTATTTTATAGGAAAAAAATGTGCCCTTTCAGCGGCAAAATACTGTAATCATGTTATCAAGAACACATGGCACAGTGGATAAAGGCGTTAGTTAGATCCAGTGACAGGACCCAAAGAGTGTGAGTTCAATACCCGGTTAAGGCCGTGGAGAACTTGGAAAGGGGAATTAACAGGAGATAACTGATAACTGATATCCATTAAACATGGCACGTGGAACTAGAACAGTCTACCCCAGTGAGCAAAATAAAGGGTCCAGTTTGACATTCCAACCACCTGAAGAAGGCCGGGGCGTACAACAGCCGAAACGTTGTAATAAATATAGCGACAAAGATGAGGACAGTAGTCCGAATAATGTAAAGTTTCATGTTATTTTTTATCGTAATACTTGAAATCCGTACAAGATATTAGTAAAAACGGTAAGATTAAAGAATGGATACGAGATTTATTTTTAAAAAAATACTTAAGATAAAGAGTAGTGTGAGATTCGTTTAACCCCTAAATTCTTTTAATTTCCCAACTAATTGACTTTCTGAAAATATACGAATCTGTTCAGTAGATTATTTCTACTGTAATGAATTAGTTACTCACTTGTCGTTCATAGTTTAGAGTCATTATCATGCCAAAGGTTGTTCGGAATAATAAACTCATACGATTGATTGTTTTTAATGTTTCCACATTTCAGCCGATTCATTCTACAGCCTCCTTCAGGCGTACATACCGTAAAGAAAGATGAAGAGCCTCCTCCGATTTTTTTTTTTTTTTTTTTTTTTTTTTTTTCGAAAAAGTGTAACATTTCAACAATTATTTGAACTACTGAAATCATTATTTTTTATTTTTATTTATTTATTTATTTTGCTTTTGCTGTTCCTATATTGTTTCGGCCGAGCTACTCTGCGGCTTTCCTATGATGTGGAAATAACCAGCAATGAAAAATGTGGTCTACGAAATGGGGGGGGGCTAACCTCTCAGATTTTCACACTTGATCTTCTGATTGTCTAAACTAAGCACCAATTCAGTCCCCCACCACACGCCAAATATATTCGTTTATTTTAGATTTTCATCTTTTTATTTATTTATTTAGAGTCTCATCACGTCTTTTCCTTATTTAGTACTAAACACCAAGTCAGAGATTGAACTCTGAATACTATAACCATTCCCCCCACCCCCAAGCAAAGTTATAACGCCACTAAAATACAAGGGGTCATTGGTGGTCAAAGAAAATAAGAAGACTTTGAGAAAAGGAACGGGAAACCCAATTTTAAACAGAAAACAAATGACAAACCTCTACTCCTGTTTAAAAGACAAAAATTCATGAAACAACGCTTTAGTCCACCAGTTTATTGTCTTGAATCCTTTACCATGAAATTGGAGTATTAAACCTAATTGATTGATTCGCTTTCTACGGTTTATCAGCCCTTTTGTTATACCGGAACATTACCTATTCTATTGTAATAGACTCTCCCACCCATAAGTAGTAGTAGTAGTAGCGGTCGCCAGTTGGGCTCAGTGGTGTTGAGTGAGTCAGTCGATGTCGGACATTGAAGTATCAACCACCCCAACTAGATAGCTGCGTCATTAACTATTATTTCATGTTCCTAACGTTTTGTACGTCGGACCCTTTTAGGACCGACTTAGCGAAATACAAGCCTCCACTGTGAAAACTACTCTACAACACCTTTTGCAGGTTATTCAAAATCAAGAAATATTTTTAACTTGCAAAAATTTTTTGAGAAAATAATTTAGGAAAAAAACTTTTACTAATTAACCCATACCTGGGGGGAGAAGTTGATTCATGTCTTTCCCAAGGGTATTAGCGCATAAGTAAATATAACGTACCCAACTGGAATTAGAATTCAGCTCTCCTATTAACAAATCCAAGCTATTATCCATTAAAGCACCCGCACATCCACGCTTACAGCGCTTGGTATTCCCAAACGGCCACCCATCTAGGTACTGACCGAAGTTTAACGTTGCTTAACTTCGGTGATCATAAGGGAACCGATGTTTCAACGTGAAATAGCCATATTATGAGATTCATGACCGTGGTTAATGTAAAGGGCAGTCGTTTATTATCTAGATGATGATAATGAAGTTTTACTAATTAACCCATAGCTACAGAGGGGTGATGTGGATTCATACCTTTTCCGAGGTTATTTGCGCCTAAGTTAATATATTGCACCCAACAAGAATTGGAACTCGGCTCTCCGATGAACAATTCCAAACCATTGTCCATTACACCACCCGCACATCCAAGTTTACAGAACCACAAGCGGAAATCGACGTACTGACCAGGCTTAACCTTGTTTAACTTCGGCGATCGTACAGGAACCTGTGTTTTAGCGTGATATGGCCGTAAGCTTATTAAACCTAACAACACAAGGAGAAGGTCCAATCTTTATATTTTGATAAATAAAGATAGGTATATTAGCCGGCTCGGATTGAGGAATCGGAGAGCCGAGTTCGAATTCCAGTTTAATCCACTTACGTGCTAATAACCTTGGGAAGGTACGAATCCTCTTCTTCTCTCCCCAGTAAATAGCAGGACAGACCGGGTTCTATAGCCTTGGATGGCAACTAGTCTACTGCAGAAGAAATGGCCACCTATTGCGGGAAATAATTCTGCCTCGTCAGTCATGTATCAAAAGATACATGATCGCCTAAGCGTGTATCACGCATGGCACATAACTGACTGACATTAGCCAGAACATAAATAATTGAAGGAAAATTTGCTAAAAACAACAAAGATGAAGAGACTAGTCAGGAACCATAATAGATAATAAAATATTATAGGAAGAGATGAAGAGCGAGGTGGCAGAAGATGAAGGCAATCGTGGCTATAATCTCTAGAATACTGACTGATAGATTTTCTCCGTTTTAAATGAAATTTATAACAATTGAAGACGAGAATAAATTGTTTATTGTTCGTTTCCATTAGATTTCGGCTATTTTCAGCTTTTGTTGAAAAGCTTACTATTTCGTGGTGTAGTGAAATTTTGGGTCCGTTCATCTTCCTCTAATTAGTTTTATGCGATACGTGTCAGCAAGACTATTGTGTAACATCTTTCCCCTTAACAAGAAATTATTACCCGCGTTTATTTTTGGTCAATCAATAATTCTCGGGGAAATATTCTTATAACTATATATTCCTACCATTTCAAAAGCCGAGGATAATTCTAAGATTATTTCGAGCTATTTATCAAGCTTAGCATGACGCAGAACAGTAATATATATATATATATATATATATATATATATATAATAAAGACAAGTGACAAGGTACTGCGTTTAAGATTTTTATTTAATTTTTTTTTTTTTTTTTATCGTACAAGTCTTTTCTTTTCTGGACATAGTGTGTGTAAAAAAAACAAAAAAAAACTGAAAGTTTTGCATATCCTAAGCGCTTTCGACTATTCTTTTAGCCATTATCAAGGGCGATTTTTATTTTTAACTGAATGTGTTTTTTTTCTGTGTATGTGTCTGAAGTTAAAGGAGTGCGAGTAAAGAAACTGTTAGCATAGAACTTACGGTTGTAAGTAGAACCTGTATCTAGCCAGCTCAATAGTCAATGACGCCAGTCTAGTACTGCGCTTAAATTCAAAAAGTGTAGGTACCATAGAAAGAGCTGATCCGAACAATTGTCATGCAAGTATTTGTAGAAAAGACACAGGGTGGCAACCTTACAGCGGGAGGAATGTGACTGAATCCGATCCGCCAGATCAGGACCAGTAATACTGGTGATTCTTTGGATTTTGTCAAGGAGCTAAAGGTAAGTAGCAGAGGCACCGGATATATATATATGTGTGTGTGTGTGAATGACTGGTTTCGTTAAATAATTTAGACACGTTCTGTGTACTTATTCTCGATAGGATCCTTTCACATTCGCGGTTAAGCTTTTTGCGCGGTTATTAAAAGACGAGGGAAAACACCGTGTTGACTCATATTGTACTTATTCCGACTACTTTCGACATAGTATAATGTCATCATCAGGTTATTGGTAATTACAGAATAAAATTTAGTGTTCATGTTTATGAAAGGCAAAAATTGTTGTGGTAACCCGAAAATTAACATTTTTATATGAGAAATCAGGAACGCTGTCTCATGGCTTGGGTGAGAGACACCATTTAAGGGGAGGCAACTATTTATGCTGTAGAAAAGTTCGGGACCTGAGTAGTTGCTAGATAAAGGGAAAACTATTAATGGCAAACGCTAACCTTTTTGTGGCACCTTGCATTATTAGAAATATTCATAGAAATATGATTTAATTTTTTTTTTTACTCGGTTTATTAAACAGGTTGTTGATTTTTTTTTTTTTTTTTTTTTAAACGGAAAATAATTGAGTTGAAAATAATTCACTAAGTTGTACTTAGACGATCCTAAGGAAAGAAGAAGGAAGGAGAAAGAAAAGAGGAAGAAAGGGAAAAAAAAAGGGAAGAGAGATGGATGATGCATGACCCGGTCATAAGCGAAGATAGGTGTCAGAAAGATATCTTGGCCTGCGTGTTGGCCGAATTTTAAAAGACAATAGAGAATTGTTATTTGAAATGAAAAATCATTTAGAGGAGAAAAAGAACCAGGCTTGATGACAGTTTATTGGCGATAAGAATATCGGTCAAAGCACCTAGCCTACTTTTTGCGTGGAAAGACTCATTGTCAAATTGGAGAAAGGGAATTTCTTTTAGAACAATAGAAACGAAATTTTTTTTTTAATCGGAGAAAAGTGTCTTTTGGGTTGAGGGGAGTGACCGGTGGAACTGTATACAGATTCTGGCCTGTTAAGAATTGGAAACCCACGATAATAAAGTGGGGACATTTTTCAATGTAGATAATTAAGATTTTCTGACTGTCGGGTCTGACAAAAACAAGAGGTGAAAAAACGATTGTCTCAGCTCACAGATGGCGCCAATATTCTTTCCTGAAGTCACATCTAATTAGCGGCAGGCTGTTTGACAGAGCCCAGGTGAGAAAAAGTCAAGATTGTCATTTTTTTCGTACGTGAAAAAAAGGGCAAAATTAGATTTTGTTTTTTTAAAACAAGAACGATGTAAGCCACGCCCGATTTGAGATGGGAGGCGCCCAACCACAATCTCATTAGCCGAAAGCGGTCACGTGATATGCGGAAAGAAGAGGAAGAATGCTCGATCAGGAACCATTGGTCAAAAAACGGTCACTTACATACGAGAAACCGGGAGAGATGGGTGTACGCCTCCCCACCAAAGGCACTGTGAGGAAGTAGGGGTGAAAACAATAGCGATAATGGGGAAACAGAATTAATGCGGCTATTGGAATTATCGAGAAACCCCTGACGCCAACAGACCCACCCCGGTTTGCTGCGGCGTCAATAAAAGCAGGACCCCAGTCGACAGAAATCAGTTGAGTTGAGAGTAGCGGCTGAGTTGCGGCAAGAAATCCTTTCCACCCAAGTCGAAGACAAGAGAATCTTTCCACCCCAAGTCGAAGACAAGAGAATCTTTCCACCCCAAGTCGAAGACAAGAGAATCTTTCCACCCCAAGTCGAAGACAAGAGAATCTTTCCACCCCAAGTCGAAGACAAGAGAATCTTTCCACCCCAAGTCGGAGACAAGAGAATCTTTCCACCCCAAGTCGGAGACAAGAGAATCTTTCCACCCCAAGTCGGAGACAAGAGAATCTTTCCACCCCAAGTCGGAGACAAGAGAATCTTTCCACCCCCCGAAGACAAGAGAATCTTTCCACCCCAAGTCGAAGAGAATCTTTCGAAGACAAGAGAATCCCCCCCAAGTCGAAGACAAAGAATCTTTCCACCCCATTACGAAGAAGAAGATTACTCGCCGCAGAGAAGATCCAGCCCAAGTCGAAGACAAGAGAAGTTCTATCTAAGTCGACGAAGAAGAAGAATCAACTGCGAATGATCGATAGAAATTAGCCCCAGTGTCGAGCTAAACCACACTCCGACATACACAATTCTAAAGAGTAGGCAATTCGAAATCCTTAGGTTGTGTGATAGAAGCTTGGTGCCATAGTCCACAGAGCGGGTCGGGAATTGAGAACAATTTTGTTTTTATGTAACGGACATTAGATATAAAAGGTTGTTACCCTTTTTTTATCAGCAATCCTTTTGTCTCGTGAGTTTTTTTTTTCTTTTACTTGTGTTTTGCCACCCCCGTCGGACTCAACTTGTATCGGCCCCAATCCCTGCTGGTCCCGTCTGTCTAAGATCTAAACACAGCGTGGGTAGACAGACCGGAGATCAGTACAGTTGCTTCAGTAACCAGGTATTGGAAGCGAGTTGGGAAAGGCGAGGCTGGTGATCATCTAACCAAGGGGTTGGAGCGGCACGCTTGGAACCAGGAGGAGCGACCAGGAGGAACGACGTCACAGTTGGCGCCGTAACCAAGGGATTCGACCCTGGGCCAGGTGTGTAACCGTCACATTTTTTTTGATTGTTAATCTTTCCATGGTTGAAATTGCCAAAGAGTTAAGCTGTTAAATCTGAAAGAAAGAGAGAAAAAATCATTAGACGCTTAAACTTGATTCACATTTAAAATCGGTCCAAGTCGTTGGAACACACTTTAGATGAAAATATAACTGAATATATATTAATTTAAACTAAGCTTTTCAGCGTGTACCCACCTACCGTGCCAGGGAGAGCTTTTTCGGCATGCCTCCCCGTGCCAGAGAGAACATACTCTTGGCAGTCAGTTTCACAAAATAACAGTTCGCGGAAAGTACCTGTTCTAGTCGACGTGCATCTCTTCGCTGGAATACGAATAAAATGAGGGTGGTTTACTACAGTGAGTGGCATGGTGGGTTTTAATCGTGAAAGTTAAAACTGGTGGAACTAAGGAATATAAATTCAGAGACCTACCCGTTTGGAAAGACTTGATAATTGAGAATACTCTTCCAGTGATTCCATAGCTAAAGGTCTCCTGCAGCAACCCTCTATGCCACATCTTGTCAAAGGTTTTTGAAATATCTAATGCTATTTTCCTCGAGATATATTTATTATCTAGTGCCTGATTAATTCTGTACGTAATGGCAGTTAG